GACCTTAGGATTAAAAATCAATGTAAGTTTCCGTGATGTAATGGTGAGCACTCCGGACTCAGGATCCAGAATTAAAAATCAAAGTATCTCGCAATTTTATTAAGAGCAGATCAATACTTCCAGAAAATCTTTTTTATTTAAATACAAAGGACTATTTTTTGGTTTTTTACAAATGTATTTTGAATATTAAAGCTCAATTGTTAGAAAGGTTATCATAAATAATTCCCTTTTAATTGTAGCCAACTGGATCACACACATTACTTTCATAAACCTCCCTATTATAAGCCTTTCTGTGACTCACACAGACCATGCATGACATGCCTTGAATATTCTGCTTTGTCTTCTGCCTCCTCCTCCTTAAATAACTCACTCATTTTCTTTTAGGACAAATCTTTACCACACGCAATTCTTTCTCATTCAAAATTAGTCTCTTTTCTTTGCAACCTTCCTTACCAAAAATATACCTTCGTGTCTGTAACTGTAACTTGCTGGAGTGTGATGTCGCAATCTCGACTCACTGCAAACCTTTGCTTCCCGGGTTCAAGTGATTCTCCTGCCTCAGCCTCCTGAGTATCTGGGATTACAGGTGTGCGCCACCATGCCCAACTAGCTTCTGTATTTTTAGTACAGATGGGGTTTCACCTTGTTGGCCAGGCTGGTCTTGAACTCCTGACCTTGGATGATTTGCCTACCTTAGCCTCCCTAAGTGCTGGGATTACAGGTATGAGCCACCATGCCTGGCCTATTAGGCAGTTTTGTGAAGGCTGTGAACCAAATTTGGGGTAAGGCAGGTTCAGTAAGTTGCCAATATACCGAATTTGACAAAGAATAATGTGACTAAATTATGTCAGGAGGCCCAAAAGATACCTTGTTTTATTATAGCAGAGCCTGTTCCATATTTTCCTGGCCTCGAGTCTTTGTCCTTGAAGATCAAAATGTTGCCATTCCTTTTTAGTATGAAGAGAATGTCTTTTACATGGAAATTTTTTCTTTGCTTAAAAAAAAAAAAAACAGCATGAAGATTAAAACGATTTTCTTTCGTTTCTGCTGGTTTGCAAGTGTTCTTCATAGATAGTATGTCAGACTAGCTAAGGAGTTTTGGAGAAGTTTTGGACAAAGAGAGTTAGGCTTAGAGAATGATAAAGAAAAATTGTGAGAAGGATGGGGAGAACTCTGGAGAGTAGAGAGTTTCAACTAGTTTTAAGACAGTATGTTGTAATGAGGCAATCTTTGAGTTCTGAACAGTTCTCTTTTTTTTAGCCTCAAGATATCAATGAGATGTTGTATCTTATTTGAAATGCATGACTTTATAGCCATGGTATTTTAATTCAGTTTTAAGAACACAGACGCTTTAAATAATCCCTACAATGTTTGAACCTGTTACCAGCTGGAGTCCCAGAAAATATGTTGGCATGCCTTTGAACTTTGAGAGCCCATTTTTGTGAATGTTCTGGTCTAATGTCAGATATACAAAAGCCAATTAAACACAAGTGCTGAATGCCAAAAGTCTAAATACATGCAAGCACAGACAGAAAATAAAGTATATATTTACTGAGAAGGATGATAAGCCACCTTCTTCAACTAAGGGTTGGAGGAGATATTCCATCACCAAGGCCTCAACCCAAAGGGAAACAAAATTCCTTCACCCACGTACCCCACAGGAGGGTCTACAAGGAGGAGAAGAGCCCTCCTTCACCTCACAGACCACACAGCCAAGGGCTTCCAGAATAGTCTTCCTAAATAGGAGCTCTCCCAACAAGAGCAGTCAGGAAGGGGAAAGATCCCTCTCTAACTAAATCCCCAATAAAACAGAAGTCAACTAAAAGAATGAGTTCGGTCCAAGAGTCTCACCAAGAAGAAGAGAGGTGAGCCAAGGAAGCCAGATAGGGGCTCAGTGGGCCCCAGCGTGGATACCTCACTCCATAGTTTCCAGGGCTGGTGATTGTCCTCCAAGTGAGTCAGCTTTGGGTCTCACTTCTGATGCCAAGTATGTCAAAGTCAAACAAAATACAGAGATGACTGTCTACAATTAAAATATTTTATTTGAGAGAAAAGAATTGCAATTTGGGGCATATGGTAAGACCAAGTGGTCTTCAGTATGTGTGAAGAACAAAGAGAAAGCCAGAGGTTTCATATGAAGGAGAAATGTTGCCAGGCAAGGTGGCTCACGCCTGTAATCCCAGCACTTCGGGAGGCCAAGGCAGGTGGATCACCTGAGGTCAGGAGTTCTAGACCAGCCCGGCCAACATAGTGAAACCCATCTCTACTAAAAATCCAAAAACTTAGCTGGGTGTGGTGGCAGGCATCTGCAATCTTAGCTACTCAGGAGGCTGAGGCAGGAGAATTGCTTGAACCCAGAAGGCAGAGGTTGCAGTGAGCCGAGGTCATGCCATTGCACTCCAGCCTGGGCAACAAGAGCAAAACTCTCTCTGTCACAAAAATAGAAAGCACTAGTCTGGTTCTGAGGAGCTGGCAGATTCTGACTGGAAGCAGCAGCAGTGAGCAAAACTAATCTTAGAGCTTCAGCAGATCATGTCAGTAGCCATGAGATGAAACTTGTTTCAGATTACACTAAGAGTTTCAGCTGCCAGGCTTGCAGAGAATTGCATTTTTGGAGCAATGTTTTGTGCCCTGAGTGCTTTTTGCCTTTCTACTCTGTTTTAATTGGCTTTGACAAGAACGACACATTCGTATGATCAACTTTCACACATCTATGGGCCTCCGCTAGAGGATGGGAAAATAAAAACAGCTAATTCTACTCCTTAAACTAGCTCTGGCCAAAAGGATAAGCCACAGTGGTGAGACCGTCACTCCAGAGGACTCTAGCCATCACTGCAGCATTTTTTTCTATTTTCTGTGCCTTACCCCACTGATGTCCTTTCATTTAAGACCTTCCTCTCCCAGCTACACACATTCAACATCCCATTGTGGGAGTTCATCCAACCCTGAAAGCCAAGCTCAGTGCCACCTCTTGCAGGAAGCCTCTCTTGATCAACCCAGGACCTCAGTCTCCATCTCTCCCTCATTGGGGCTCCCTCTTCACTATGGTCGACTATTTTGAAGCTTTTGAACCTTTATTTTATGTTATAATTAGAGAGGTACAGCAGTCTAGAGGTAGCCATCCTGGTTCTCAACATATCCATATTTGAGTATATTGTGCTATTTTAAATTCAAAACACCAGTATTTTGGCATTTAACAGAAAATCTTAATGGGATTCATTTTTGTGTTACATTATACTCAGAGAAGTTTATGGCAGTACAATTGTGAACCTAACCATGATGCCTTACTTTAAAAGTATATTTATTTCCCTTTCACTCCCATAGTTTTCTGAGTCATTTGAGTGTTCCCTAATTTTGATGTGATTTACTTTCCAGGTGTGCCTGAGAAAGTCACTTGGAATGGAAAGGGAAGGGAGGAGGGGAGGAAGATTCCCAGGCAGTTCCCAGCCATTCCCGAGAAGCCTAACCACGTCCTTCCTCACGACAAAAACTCCTCCTTTGTTCTCTAGATCCCAGCTCTATCCTCTGGTTCCTGCCCACTCCACTAGGATGACGTATTTTAACCATAACCACCTTGCCCAGCTGCCCTACCTAGAGAGCTGCAAACTGTGGAGGCAGAGGACTCGCCCACCTTAGTCCTGGGCCTTTGCATGAAGGGCAGGGGGGAAGGAACCACAATTCACTGTCTTATGAAACAGTGTTGCTGCCGGTGTTTTGGTGTTATCTGAAGAACTTACTCAAATACCAGCATTGTGCAAACACTGGGCATTCCCCCTGTGCACACTCACACTCACACACACAACTGTGACCTGTCGGAGCGCTAAGTTGTAGACACCTCGGGATAACCCTCAGGACCCTGCATGTAACAAGCATACACAGAGCCCTGGGGTGACACAGCTCCTTCATTTAAATCCAGACAGTAGGTGATGACAGCCTGCTCTGCACTCTGTTGGAAAGAAACATACTTGTTTTAAAATCCAGGCTAAAACCTCTTTCAGAACAAGGTAGAACTAATAGTAATTATTATTCCAAGCCCTATACTAGATATTTTACATTTCTTCTCTGTGATCCCCTTAGCCTCCTGCAAAGTTAACGGTATAATCCCTAGTTCTCCATAAGGAAGCTGAGGCTAAGAGGAAGATAAAGCAACTTGACTAACAGCCCGCATAGAAGGTGTTGAGAGCCAGGATATGAGCTGAGTTCTTCACTGCCCTAAAACTTCTCACCACCTCCTTAAACGTCTCCATTCCATTCTGGCTGCCACCATCCACACACAGTGACAGCTGTGACATAGTGAATGGACTCGAACTTAACGATCAGAAACAGAGAGATATTGACATCTTCCAACATGTGAAAGGTGACCAAGTGGCCAAATGCTAGGAAATGTGATGTTCAGAATCATACTCCCTCAACATAGTTTGTAACAGGATATTTTCTAAGTCTGTGTTTAAGAGTTCGGATTTATTTGTGGGATTATTTGATTCGTGCCTGTCTCTCTTTCGACGGTGAGCTCCTTGAGGACAAAGAATATGACTGTTTGGCTTGCCAGAGCATCTCCTGCTCCTAGGCATGGTGGCTGATACACTAGTGGGCATTTAATACACATATACTGAATGAATGACAGCTGGGACTCACCACCTTTACTGACTGTGAGCTTGGGCAATATAAATACAGGATATATACAAAAATATAAATATGTGATCTCAAGTAAACATCAAAGCAGCCACAAGATAGGAATTATTATTTCCATTCTATAGACAGAGAAACCGAGGTTCTATGCATTAAGTAACTCACCCAAGTGTGCGTGAGCTGTGCTTTGATCCCAGGCCCATCTGGCTCCAGTGCACAGCACCCTGGATGCCTTAATGGTCAATCTTCCCAGGCAGGGGAAGGTCTGAGCTGAACCCTCTACAGTTGCCCTGCCTGCTCAGTGTGTCCCCCTGGACATGCCTCCACAACCCCATGCAACATCACTAACTCAGATCTGTGCTTGTTTGCAGGCTCAGGAGGCAGCAGGGACAGGGCAGCCAGCTCTTGGACACCGACAGCCAAGCTGGAGGCCAGGCCCAAAGCAAGCTCCAGGATGGATGCAACAATAATCTCCTCACCCACACCTGCACGCGCGGCTGCAGCAGCTAAGCCCACACATGTTGCTGCCCAACGGGACTGCACGCGTCTCTGCCCTGCCCACCCAGAGCCCCTCTTGTGCCCTGATGGTCCCTGTCTCAACCCTGAAAACATCAGATGCAGAAAGAGCCCTGGACTTGGAGCTGGGAAGCCTGGGTTCTGGTCTCATCTCCCAGACTGATTCACTGTGTGACCTCAGACACGTCACGCCCTCTCTGTGCCTCAGTTTTCTGCATCTGCCAATGGGGTTACACACTTCTGCCCCACGTCAAATTACAAGAGTATGGGGAGAGCCCAATTAGGTAGGAAACATGAAAAATCTTTGATATTTATAAAATCATTTTTACGTATAAATATAACCTTAATATTTGAAGTGAACCCCCCTTCCCCAAAGCAATTAAACAGTCATGACTTTGCAATTTGGCACATCCTAGCTTGTTAGAGGGCACTTTTGAAATCCACAGCCCTCACAGCAAAATACATGTCTGATATGTTTGCCCCTTCCAAGGAAATCATGCTCCCAAACCCTGGAGCAAAACCTGAAGTGTCTTCATGTGCATTCTCTGGCAGGCCACAGTCTTTCTGACCTTGTAAGATGGTGCAGCATGCGGACCGGCCTTGTCCCCAAGGTCTCAGCGCTGCAGCTGCACTCATTCACAGAAGACTGTCCCTACTTTTTAGCCTCAGCAGTCCTCACCACCACCATATCCCCAGTGCTGGGAAGGCACACAGGTGTCCATTTAGGTGAGGAGAGTCAGGTCACAGAGCACTGGTTTCTCCTAGAGTGTAATCAGCACCCCATCCAACCTACCCAAAAGCCCAGACCTGCAGCAGAACTCTCCAGCTCTATCAGCTTGCGGGGTTTTCTCTCCTGAGAAGGGTGTAAAATCAGCTTGTCAGCATCTTCTTACAGAGAGTACCTAACTGATGCTGGTGGGGTGGCTCCCTATTTGTACATTAGGAAGCATGGATGCTTAGAAAGCTTATTTCAGGAGGAAAGGAGGTTCACACAAAGAGCAAACTACTTTCTGATCTGGACAGGGAGAAGCTTGCATTTGAATTGGAAGAAGTTGGGGATGAGCAGGGAAAGCTTAGACTTTGGAGTCAGGTTTGTGTTCAGAATCCAGCCCTGCTGGCTGCTAACTGGGAGACTTCTGGCAAAGCGTGCATCGCTCTGAATGGCAGTTTCCTCATTTTTAAGCTGGGAGGGCTAAATAAGATCCTGTGTGCAACCCCAAGCATTGGATGACTCATCGAATGACCTTTTGTGTCAGCGTAATCTTCATCATTATTTAGATACTTTCTTCCTTCACTCACTTGGCAGGTCAGTTTTCTGTGCAAACAAGCCTCCTCTTTAGGATTCTTCCAAATGTTCTTCCTCTGATGTTTGTTATATCCTGCTGAAATTCCACTGTGTTTTTATTTTGTCATTCAGCTTCCATTTCTTCACTTTTTACTTGATTACGCAATCCTTGGGGCCGTCCACGTCATCTCTTAGATTTCTTAAAAGACATTTTAATGTATGGTGAGATTTTATATTTTTACTTTTTTAAAAAAAAGAAATGGTCATTGTTTTCTTCCTTTGAACTTAGGCTATTTCCGGATGTGTGGTCCACGTAAGTTGACTTGTTTTCCACGCCTTTTTTACTCCGTTTCCTCATCAGCACCATCCTGATCCCCATCTCCCCCAGGAAATAACGGGCCTGCCCCTCTCCTCACTGTGATGCTGGAGGCTCTTAAAAATTTTTTTTTAAATTGGGCTGAGTTCATGAATTAGGGACAGGCGCTGTAAATAGCCCTAGGAACACTGGATTTCCTGGTTCTGTTCAAGTTGGTGTTTCTTGTTTGGAATAAACTATTTCTTGGACATTCCTTCTCACAACTTTGTTCTTAATTCAGGGTTGGGTGGGATGGGCCATGTTCCTGTTAGAGTGAAGAGACTCAAGTTTAATTAGAAACACAGACACGGGCATTGTTGGTGGTGTGGACACCAAGCCAATGATGAAATCACCTTGCCCACACATGAAATCAAACTTAGCTTGACAATTCAAGGCTCTACTTAGCTTCATCACAATTTACATGATTATTCTTATTATTTTGCATTTACTAAGGTGCCATCTATTCACTAAGGAAAAAGTATAGAAAATTCTTCACCCAGAGAAAAACAACACTCTTTAAAATTTCCTCTCAAACATTTATACAGCACACACACAGGTGCAAATGAACCAGTATTTTCCTTTTCATACAGAATTCCCTGCCTTCATTCTTCCTGTCCTCTTTGTTGGGGGTGCCTCTCAGCTCTAATCTGCATGTGCTAAAATTCCTATTTCTCAAAGGCCAATTCCACTTCTCCCATGATGTCTCCTGGGGCTCATGGCACCACCGACCCAGGCCAGATGCCACCCCTCCATGAACTCTCACACACTTCCTGTGACTCACGGTTCTGCTTGCTGCTAAGTGCACCTTCGCGTTACTGTCCCCCGTCCTTCACCCTCCTTGCCTTCAGGCCCCTCAAAGAGGCCGGGTCAGATTCAAGTGCATCTCTTCATCCCACCCTCCTGTCCTGACAGTGCCTGGCTCATAAGGAGCAATCAACAAACTCTTTGCTTAGGTACGGCTTGCTTTCGGCACCCTCCTATCTTCCACCTGGCTCCACTGTCACTTCCCAGAGCTTTTTCCTCTCCAGGTCCCAGTGCTTTCTCAGGGGCTACCCTCTAGTGGCTTGCCCAGTCCCCACTCACTCCCTTCAGAGCCGTCTGCTCATGATCTCCAAGTCCCAAATGAGTTTTGTCCTTCCCTCATCTGAACCCCCACTCCCCATAAAGCACTGGCTAGAAAGCAATATGACTAAAGAAATCCATTCCCATGCAAGAATTTGTGTTAGGATTTACCCTATGATTGGAAATTCATGAGCACCAGTGCCAGCTGTAGACCAGTGGTGCACCGGGACATGCTGACAGTGCCAAGCTGGGGTCCACGCTGTGAGTAGCAAGGATCTAGAACTTCTGCTCGTGGGCAGATCAGCCATGCCTGTTGGTTTCTGTATAGTCTATGGTTGTTCTCTTGCTGCAACTGCAGTGCTGAGCAGCTAAACAGAGACCCTGTTGCCCACAATGCTGAAAATATTTACCACCTGGCCTCTTAGAGAAACAGTTGCAGAGCCCTGATCTAGAAGACACATCCGGGGCACTAAGTGGGCACATGACAAATGCACATTTGCTTCCCTCACTTGCAAAAGCCAGCGGGTCTCAGAACTTGGCATTCCAGCCCTGTAAGTTCCCAGGGGGAAAAATTTGCAGTGGAATGTATGGTCCATGTGCCCTCACCCGTTCACTCTTGAGCTTTTTCCAAACTGGAGCTTTAACCAATAACACTTCCCAGGACAGTATTATTGAAAGTCTCTGTATTAGTCTGTTCTCACATTGCTATAAGGAACTATCTAAGACTGGGTAATTTATAAAGAAAAAAGATTTAGTTGACTCACAGTTCCATTGGCTGTACAGGAAGCCTCGCTGCGGAGGCTTCAGAAAACTTACAATCATGGCAGAAGGCAAAGGGGAAGTGGGCATGTCTTACATGGCTGGAGAAAAAGGAAGAAACAGTAAAGGGGGAGCTGCTGCACACTTTTAAACAACCAGATCTTGTGAGAGAACTCACTATCAGGAAAACGGCAAGAGGGAAATCCACCCCCATGATCCAATCACCACCTGCCAGGCCCCTCCTCCAACACTGGGAATTACAATTTAAAATAAGATTTGGGGCTGGGTGTGGTGGCTCACACCTATAATCCCAGCAATTTGGAAGGCCAAGGTGGGTGGATCACCTGAGGTCAGGAGTTCGAGACCAGCCTAGCCAACATGGTGATACCTTATCTGTACGAAAAATACAAAAAAAAAAAAATTAGCCAGGAAGGGTGGTGCATGCCTGTAATCCCAGCTACACAGGAGGCTGAGGCAGGAGAATTGCTTGAACTCAGGAGACTGACTTGGCAGTGAGCTGAGATCATGCCACTGCACTCCAGCCTGGGTGACAGAGTGATAGTCCATCTCAAAAATAAATAAAGAAATAAAATGAGATTCGGCTGAGACATAAATCCAAAGTGTGTCAGTCACCCTTTTCTTGCTGTCCTTCTCCCATGTAGCCAGGCCCTCCCAGAAGTCCTTGGCACTGTCTCTATTTCATGCAGTTTGGTTTCCACAGCACTTGTCACACTGCCCAGTTGTGGGCAGTTGTGCCCCACTTCTCCCTCATGCAGGCTGTGGGCTCCATAGGGTGGGCTGTGCACAGGTGGCTCCCAGCACAGAGCTGCCTCGAGGCAGGTCCTCAGTGGACATAGAAGTTGCACAGGCACGCCCACCCTAGCCCTGAACTTCAGCCACTTTTAGCAAACGCCTGTCACTTTGATGATTCAGCCCACACACTATGCCCTTCCTGTTGCATCATTTGCTATCTGTCCCCTTTCCTCTTCCAATCTCAAACATGAAATCACAGCACAGTTTCTTCCATGTTTAATTATCGACTGCCACAAAGAACAGGTATCTGTTCCTTCCAGGGTGATCACAGGCAAACATGATCAATGGGTTTCCCTCTTGGTGTCTCTGCACTTCATGTTTATCCCATCTCTCCCAACACACGTTTTCTAATTATTTCCACCCAGCAGGGAGAGTGGCGAGTCACACATGAGCCTTTCCCAGGTATCATAGCTGCCATTCTTGCAGCATCCTAATTCTAAAAATAGATTTGTGCAACCACCTTTTGTGCTTAATTCAATAGCATTTTCTAGATAGAAATTAATTTCACACATTGCTATAGTCTGAATGTTTGTGTTCTTCTGAATTTCATATATTGACATGTCAACCTCCAAGGTGATGGTGTTGAGAAGTAAGGTCTTTGGGAGTTGATTGGGCTATGAGGGTGGAGCCCTCATAAACAGAATTAGTGCCCTAAGAGGTCCTAGAGAGTTCTCTGGCTCCTTCTATCATGTGAGGACACAGGGAAAAGGTACCAAAAAGCAGTTCCTGCCAAGACACCAAATCCTGGACTTCCCAGCCCCCAGTACTATGAGAACTAAATTTCTGCTGTTTGTAAACTACTCCATTTATGATATTTTGTTATAGAAGCCTGAACAGACTAAGACACATGTCATATTTTTAATCAGTTCTTAACAATTAAGAGTGAGGTTGGGAAGTTCTCTAACAGAGTTTTGGCCAAGACCAAGAGAAACCTGTCTGATCAATCAGTTTTCTCCATCTTTCTCAAAGCTCTCTTCTGCTCTCCACCACCACACCATGTTCCCAAGAGAGCTGGAGAAACAGCAAAATAGAAATCAAAACGACTATATCAGTACTGAAGCCCCAACACATAGCCCTGTTAGAAGGTCACGTCAAAGCAAGAAGCACAGAATCAAAGCCTTATCTAGGCCCTGGGATCTTCCCAAAATTTGACCTTGGCACCTGCAGACTCAAGGGTGCCAATCACAGCAGCGCAATCCATTACTAATAGTGGCCCCATTGATGGCTTAGGTTCAGACCTATCAGAAGGGAAATTTCTCTTTCATTGTGGGAGAAATGAGTAAGGGTGCAGACATGGCTGGCAGTGGAAAATGTGCAGAGATTCCCTTTTTCTTTGTATTATTAAGGTGTCAGAGAGTCCCACTCTCTCACAGAAACCAAAATCAAATAAAACCAGAATTTATTCACTTGCCTTCTAGACATCTTCTTCCATAGAATTTCCCCACTCACTCTTTGTGGTCATGGCAAGAATGTATTTGGGGCCATGCTTTTCTATATGATATTTTATGTCTATACCTCTGAAGAGCCCTCCAAGCCTCCATCTTGGAGGTGATTGGGCTATGAGGGTGGAGCTCTCATAAACAGAATTAGCACCCTAAGAGGTCCCAGAGAGCTTTCTGGCTCCTTCTACCATGTGAGGACACAGAGAGAAGGTACCTCCATCTTGGAGGGCTCTGGATGTTACTAAGGTCTTGACACTGGCCCACCTGCCTGCACACTAATATGGCAAACCAGAGGGGAGCTACCTTGGTGTGCTCAATGGAAGCCTCCTTTGTCAAGACCAGCAAGTTGGAAAAGAGATGATGGAGGATGCATTCCAGGCAAGGAAGACCAACAGGCAAAAGGCCCTGTGTTCAGAGTTACCCTCGGTTCTTCCAAGAACAGTAAGGAGGCCAAGGGGCTGGAGCTTAGTGAGTGGAGTGAAAAGTGGTACAGATGAGGCCACTGAACCAAGCAGATTATGGAAGTCCTAGAGAACCCCGGGGAAGAGTTTGGAATTGTGTGATGAGATGCTCTTGAACTACTTAGAGAGGGGAGTGACTACTGTGTAGACAGTAGACAATGGGGTAGGGGTAGGGACAAGGGTAGAAATTGGGAGGATACCAGTTAGATGGACGATAGAGCAATCCAGGTGGCTCAAGGGGGTAACCCTGAAGATGCAGATGGATCAGTGATATAGGGCATATCACAGTGACCTACTACTACATCACAGTGGCTCTCAAATAGATGGATTTCAGACATTTCTGGAGAACTTGCAGGTTGTGTAGGGTGATAAAGGAAAGAAGCAGGACTTCTAAAAATGATACTTTAAGTTCTGGGATACATGTGCAGAACGTGCAGGTTTGTTACATGTGTCATGGTGGCTTGCTGCACCCATCCTCCAGTCATCTACATTAGGTATTTCTCCTAATGCTATCCCTCCTCAATCCCCCCATCCCCTTCTATGCCTCCCCTACCCTCCACAAGCCACTGGCATGCCCCAGTGTGTGATGTTCCCCTCCCTGTGTCCATGTGTTCTCATTGTTCAACACCCACTTATGAGTGAGAGCATGCAGTATTTGGTTTTCTGTTCTTGTGTCA